CCCCCTTCCTCCCTCCTTCCTACCCCTCCTCCCTCCCTTCCTTCTCTCTCTGTTCTTGTAGAATGTAGGTTTTAGAATGTAGACATTGTAGAATATATGTTTTTTAATAGAATAATTTTTTAGGTCATTTGAGAAAATGTAGTTTTTTTTTACTATTTTAGGTATTTTGAATAGAATAGGAAGTTTTAGGTCTTTTGATTAGAAATTTTAGTAATAGAAATTTTTAGTTGGTAGAATTTGAAAAAATGTCCTGTACTTGTTACATTATGAACTTAGGGCATATTTTTAGGGTTTAGTAAAAAAATAGTAATAGAAACTTTTAGGTATAGAACATTTTGAATAAAAATGTCCTGTTTATAAGGTTAACTAGTTTAATTAGGTTAATTATCTAGGTTAACTTGCTAGGTTATTTATAGTAAGTGCTTAATAGAACTAGTTTATTTATAGCAAGTGCTTCATAGAACTAGTTTATTTATAGTAAGTGCTTAATAGAATTAGTTTATTTATAGCAAGTGCTTAATAGAATTAGTTTATTTATAGCAAGTGCTTAATACATTTTTTTTATATTTTGTTTATGCAGAAATCAAGTTTGCCCCTGCCTCATCCCCGCAGTCGTCCCCATCGTCGACTCCTTAAGGCCTCTAGGTGAGAATAGCCAAATGATAATGTGTTGTAAATGTCGATGATGAAAATGCTAGTGCTATATAGTTGCCATGTCATTGATGTCGATGATGATGCATTCTGAATATAGAGGATGTCTTGGTGTTCTTATTTGCAATGTGCCTCCGAGTGGCCTATGTTTTGCCGGAATGTTGATTTGTTTCCGTCCCGGTAAATTTCAAGCGCTCGATATGTCCTGTCTTTAGCAAAGGTCATGCTGAGTTTTTCATGAATTTTAGCATGACTTGTGCTACAATGTAGGGCATATCAAGAGCTTGTGATTTGCCAGAACAGGAATTCAATGATATATCGGCAAAACATAGGGCATTTTTCTATGTCATTGCTCGATATATGGAACGGGTTGACTTTAGGTCTGTTTCGGCTCCTTGTGTGTCTTTCAGTGAGGGAGAGTGTCCACCGTATATATATTTGAGAGAGGAAGAATGTCGACTATTGTCGCGGGGGTCGCTTCTCCTTATTCTCTTTGTGCTAGACCTTTGTTATGCACTAGGGGAAGAAGGAGTAGCTACCATCATCGACGATCGAAAAATCGGTGAGAGAGTGTCCACCATATATGAGAGAAGAAGAATGTCGACTGTTGTCGTGGGGTCGCTTCTTCTTCTTTTATTTGTGGTAGATATTTGTAATGCACTAGGGAAATGAGGAGTCTCGACCATCACCGACGGTCGCAATATCAGAGAGGGAGTGCCCACCATATACATGAGATGAGAGTTTAGGAAGGAAGACTCGACAGACCTAAAGTCAACCTGTTGCATATTGAGTAATAGTGATCTGTGTGTTGAGTTTCCTGATAGTTGCCTTCGATCGATTTTCAATTGATGCTTCAACTATGAACATAGGAAATGTCTGACGATGAAAAGAATTTCGGTATGTGTGAATACTGCGAAGACGAGCGTGGCCTGTGCGACAGGCCTCACCTAGTTGGTGGTAGGCGCTTTAGCATCAAGCTGGATGAGAACTTTGAAGTGGATACAGTAAGTCACAACGACAAGTCTTTTTCGTAATTAAGCACGACTTCTTCTTCTTTTGCTTCAACTTATAATTTTAATTTTTTACTATTCTACTAGCGTATCCCCTGCCATGCAAGAATTTATGTCTTGGATAAGATTTGTTCAGTACTATGGAAAGTATGGAGG